GAGAGAGAGAGAGAGAGAGAGAGAGAGAGAGAGAGAGAGAGAGAGTGAGAGCGGAGGATGACCGACCGAGAGAAAGTGCGGTGTCAAAGTCTGTGATAGTATTTATTGAAAAAAAAAAACAACATCGTTATCAGTAGCACCTGTGGACGTGTCATCTTCGCGAAAAAAGAAGAGGAGCGATTGAGGAGGAGATATACATACATTAGCGAGAGAGAGAGAGAGAGATAGAGGGATAGGCTTTATATATTTATTTACATCTGTGATATCGACGCTGATATACATCAACCTTCTTCGCGAAAAAAAGGAGTCGAAGAGGAGCGAAAGAGAGAGAGGGAGAGAGCGAGAGGCGAGTGACGTGGTCGAGAGAGAGAGAGAGAGAGAGGGAGGGAGGGAGAGAGAGAAAGAAACATCGCTCCGAAGAGATTATATCAGTTTCTTAGTGGATAGGGTTTTTTGTATATACGACTGACTCTTTTTTATAATTATTACTATCGGTGCGAGAGGAGCGGAGAACACGCGCTCGGACAAGATCTCTCGACAGTGGTGAACCAGAAGATTCTCCGGTCTTTCCCGGACGATCGTTTCGCAAAGGCGACGAGAGTACGCGAGAGAGGAAACATGGTGGAGAAGATTCTGGAGGAACGAGAAGACGGCACTCAAGAGGCCGGACGAGGTGAGTAAAACTCCACTTCCATGACTTGGTAATAAACGAACTTGGATTCGAACAAAAATTCAAATTTTGCTGGAGTATTCGAAATTGATCGAAATACACAATTTTTTTGGCTTGTTTGAGGTTTAATCGAGTGTTTGTTTCTGATCTCTGTCATTTCCAAAGAAAAAAACTCCGCCAAAAAAAAGGATTTCCAGATTCCTCTTCGAGGAATCGGGAGCTTTGTTTTTGAAAAATATTATGTACAAAAATACTATAGTAATGTTTGTCAAGCAGGCTGGTTTCTTTTCAGGAGATGCGTGTGTCATTCTGTGGTTCTATCTTTAAATTCGTCGTGTTAACATGAAATTTACAAAAATTTTTTTTTAGCGAGAGAAATAGAGGGAGGGAGAGCGAGCGAGCGAAGTGCTGATTGCAAAAAGTGCAAGCAACAGACCTTTCATTATTCACTGAATGCCAAGAATGTTTGTATTGACTGTCTCCTAAAATCCGCGTCGTATTACGGATTTGGATTTCGAGGAATTGTGAATTGAAGATTACAATTTAGCCAATCAGAACGAAGTTGACGAAGATGGAAATTTTCCGGTCGAATTGTAATCCCCCTAATTCTCGCGACTCTCAGTCTTCAATGCGTAGTATGAGACAAGGTCGAAACGAAAGCAGTCAGAGTATATTATTGATAATATATTATAGATTTTCGTACGCGATACAGATTCAAGAATATAGGCTCTGTCCAAGGAGTCACGGCCGTCACGGCACTGTCTTGCCATGTATTGATATACTATATTGATATTTGTTTTTACGAACCGGCTAACTTCTCAGAGTCGGCGGCCGGCGCGACGGCGGCCATTTTTGCCGGTCGATGTGTAATATAACGACCCGGTAACGGGTGAACGCTGGGGCGAACGCTCTTTCGCAATTTGCGTTTTCACTGTGTCGCGGAGCGAGGTGGAAACTGCAGGGTTGAATGGAAGGAAAGGAACGATTGAGAGACGGGTTTGAATGCTCCAGTCGTTGACAGGAAGAGGGAAACCGCGACGAGAATGCGACGAAACGCTCAGAATCCGCGTTGGTCTATCGACGTGATCGTCTTATTGCGTCATCATTTTTGGAAAGTGTGACCGGCTTCAAACGTACAATTATGCTATTCTTTTCGACTCTCTCGTATTCTGCATATTGTTTTTTGTCACTCATCGTACAAGCGGCATTTTCGATTCTGGCCGTATCGACTCTGTGTTACGAGTCGGGGCTATTCTCACGCGAAGAAGAGGACGAAACGCACTGCTCGTTCAGCGATTTGCTTTTCGTCGCGGAAAATCCGCGTTGCGAATACGGAATGATACGGGATCGACCGCGGAAGGGGCGACGGAAAGAGAGAACTTTCTCGAACCGGCGCGGCGCCGCGGTACGTCCATACGCTCGTGAGTCGCCTATCGGCTGGTTAATTAAACACGGCCACTTGTGCCTGTTCTTGCACACAGAAAAGTACATACTGTACGCAAGTAATAATTATGGTAAATTCTGTCACTCATACTATACTGTATTATATTAATACGTTTAAAAGCTGCTTTGTATCAAGTCAGGTAAAAATCATGTTTTAAATGCTTAATCGATATTTTTAACATGTCTTTTTTATAATGTTTAAAGCATGAAACAGAGTAATAAAAACATGTTTAAAAAAACACAATATTTAAGTCAAACATATTATATTTTTCAATACATACATTTTTTAACAAAAGAATTAAATTAGTGTACTCAAATGAATAATTTTTTTCTCTATATAGTCTTTATCTTTTTCTGATTCTTAGGACTAGAAAAAAAGAAGTTAAACCGAGATTAAAGTTAATCTGTATTGAAAGAAATAGTTAATGAGCAGGAATTTGACGCGTTAATCGCTGTTCATACAGAAAGTTGTATTTATGTCTTTTTTTAACAAAATATAAAATAAACCAACTTTTCTCTATACTTGTGAAAATAATACAAAAAGCTTAGCGGCGATAGAACTTTGATGAGAAATTGTTTCAATAAAAAATGGACGTGTTTTTAAAAAGTAATTATGGTAAAATAAGAAATTTTTATTCAAACCGTAAAGTTGTATTGTTAAATATAAATATTGACCTACTATTTAAAGCGCACATAAAGCATTAAAAACAATTTAAAAACATTGTTTTATTTTTAAAAAAGAATATCCTCTGTCAACTCTGTACCTAACATGTAATTTTACACAGAAAGTATAAATTGCCAATTCCAGTTGCTTTTTTTGCAGACTCTACAATCTGATACAACCTTAATACTGGAAGGTAATAATTAGACTACTTATTTTGAATATCGAAAGTACTGTACGAGGCTTTTAATATTCGAAATAAATAACTAATCGCTACCTTTCGGTAGTAAATTGGCCGGTATCTGATACATATAAAGGCGTTAATTTCGCGTTAACTTTGATATAATGATAATAACGAGCGACGCGCTCGCCGATTTTCTCGATGACGGAATTCCGATTCGTACAACGTTTACGGGAACGGGTTTCGTCACGCTGCGTGGAAATGTGGAATTGCGACGTGCAAAGCGGGCTTCTCTGTTGAAGCGCTTATCGACGAGCATTATCGGTGCGCGTACATCGATTTTTTCCTGTTACGCCATCGTCGTGGCGTGGTGTCGTCTCCGCATTCTATGCGTTTCGATGCGATCGTCACGTTCAACTTTGGCTGTTAGGAAATGCGGCAAACCGAGTAAATTCCCGGTTCACTTCGTTTACGCGTTGTCGCGAGCGACGAGCGGTTTGTCCCGATACACGTTCGCTTCTGTTTACGTGTACACTTTCTTGGGTTTTCCTACTCCTTCGGCCAATTGTTAATCGAGCGAGCTGGTCGCTAATTATACCGCGCCGTGTCTCTTCGTTATCTCTAAAAGCGGAAACCTGGAAGAATAGCCGAGGTCTGGATGGCGCCGCGTCGAAATTATGCAATGCATCAGCGGGCATAATAAAGTAAAAACAGAGACGTGCAGTTAGAGCAGTCTCCGAAATAACAGGATGACGAAACAAACGCGCGCGTTCCGCATAATCATCTCCCGCTCGACAACCTTCTAGCTCCACCTCGTTGTCCGTTCATTGACGCAGTCAGTCCGTTAACACTATAGAAACCGGGCGGTCGTTACTGACCGTTTCTATTTTTTTAGATTAATATTAGACGAATAGAGGATTCTGACATTTTTTTCGACATTTCAGTAATTTCCTTTATTATACTGATGAAATATTTGGTTTTTTTTCATCATTTTCTTTATCTTTATAGTAATTTGATTCGTCTTTTTCGACTCAGTTTTGTAGTAAACTTGTGGTTAGACTTAATTGATGATATTGTAAAAATAGACTTAATTTGATAATAATATAAAATTTGTATTTTTTTTCTAGCTACAGTCAATCATTACTAAATTGAGTTTTAACTTTTAAAGTTACCATTATGAAACCATAGTTTAGTAATTAATAATTGCCAGAACGCGTAGTTTTTACATTACTATTAAGTCACGTGAGATTAAATCTAACCTACAAGTTAATACCAGAAAAAACTACAAATTAGTACTGGAAAATGAAAAACCAGGCCTAAATGAGTAAGAAACGTTGATACTTTCAGTATTAACGGCGCACTCGCGTATTATTTATAATATATAACAGTACAGATATAAAATCTAATAATTATAATCATATCCGCAATTTCTCCTTACACAAGCGAAAAAAAATGTAAGTTTCTAGCTGCGGATTGATTATGGTAGTGTTTTGTAACAATTTTTAATAAAGTTATCACTAGTAACTTTTAAAATTACCACTGTAAAACCATCAGTTTAATGATTAATTATAGCAGGAAACGCCATTTTTACTTCTAGTATTAATGGTGCACGCGCATATATGTATAACAGTACATATATTAAGTCCAGTAATTATAGTCGCATCCGCAATTTTTCCTTATTAAAGCGAAAAAGGAAAAAGGCGAGGAAATAGGAGATCGATTTCGGTATAAATACGAGACCGCCGAATTCTTTACTTTTGTCCACGTCTGCGAAAGTTATTTCGCCTCGTTCGCAGATCGAATCACGCTAACGCCCGCTAATCCCGTTCGACGCCCGAGACGATTTTGCGCCAATAACTTTTGAATTTCGGAGAAATAATATTTTTGGAGCTAAAGAAACTCCGCGCACGAACGAGAACATTTTGCAACAACGTCGCTCCGAAGCGGCGCGTCGTTGGCACGGCGGATTATTTTTTGGGCGGTGGATAGAGGAGGGCAGGGGGAGAGGGGGACAAGTGGGTTAGTCGGTATATGAGGTTTCGAGAGGGGTCTTGGGATTTCTCGGCACCGGCGCGGCGCGACGCAGCGGTTCGTGACGCGAAGGGAGGACGCGAGTCGGTTATAGGGCGACCCAAACAAAGAACGAAGGGTGGAAGGGTCCCGGGCCGCGCATGTCAACTCGACGCGTCCTTAAAGGGAAACGCGCGCGATACGTCGAACAAAAGAGTCGACGTCGACGGTTTACGTATCGTGTTTTATACGAGTGTGTACTGGCCGTTTGATCGCGCGAGCTGAGCAACTCTGCGGGAGAACGAGTACGACTACGACACTACGACATTCGGCCGGCGAATAAAAAGAGACATCGAGGCTATATATATATATATATATATATATATATACACACACACACACGTATACGTGCGTTATCGCGTCTTTCTACGAAGGAGCCGGATGAATAAAGGAATACGTGATGAGTAGGAGAGACAAAGCTACCAGGCGACGCCAGCGGCCCAAATATACCCGATGACGCCGCGGACAAAAGCGCGACAAGTGTAACTACGATTTTAACGAATTTACCTCACGCGAAATGGAAATGTCGAGGACAAATGTCCGCGTTGGTGTTTTTTTTTTCTCTCGGATTCCTCCCTTTATCTGATACCAAATCGGATGGATTTTGTGGACAGTCATGGAAAGAATACGCTGACAAAAATTTTGTTA